GCCATCTACAAGCCATGGGGAGAGGTCTCAGAAGAAACCCCCATGCCAACATCTTGATCTCTGACTTCTAGTCTCCACAACTGGGGGGAAATACATTTCTATTGTTTAAACCATCCAGTCTAAGATACTTGGTTTTGGCAGCCCTAGCAAACTTATACAGTAGGGTTGAAATCTGGAGAAAGATTAAAAAGTAAAAAAGGAGAAACCTCCAGGGGAAAAAAAAATACAATAAAGAGGTCAAAATGAGTATAGACGTAGATGAAGAGTAAAATTTTGAAACATAGGTTTACATTAGTGAAAGTCACTTGTAACTACCATTGTGATAAATAGGATTTTCTCGGGTTTTTTTAGTATTGTGTCTTGAAAGACAAATAAGCCTTTCAACTTTCACATCTCTATCCAAAATTTGCTTTCTCAGAAAGGTCTTACCTCACCACCCTTTCCAAAACAGTGTCTTCTGCCCCAAGTGATTTTCGAGCCATTCACCCTGCTTGGTTTTCTTCACAGCACTCAAGTCTAAAATTGTAAATTTATTTTTAACTTGTTTATTATTGCCTGTCTCCCCACACTGGAATGTGAGTTCAATAAGGTCAAGGACCTCATCTAATTCACTCCTTTCTCTAGTACCCATAACAGTAATAATTAGTAGGCACTCCTTACAGATCTACACCTAATGAATGAATTGCTCTGAGAAATGCAAGCAGGACAGAACCTTCTTTAAAAGGCATGGGAAAGCCAAGGAGACAATTCTGGTGAATACTGCAGGGGTAGGATTCTGTCTGACTTCCCCTTGCTTCAGGGGCGATAAATCTGAGGCCTTGAGAAACTACCAATCCTGTGTGAGGGGCTGCCCAGCAGCAGATGAGAGAGGCTTGTACACACACACACACACACACACACACACACGTGCGTGCACGTGTGTGCACTGTGTTAGCACCATGTGAAAGGGAAAGTTGGATTTAGGGCAAGAACATTCTTTTGCACAGCAAGCCAAAATCTCATGGGGATAAATGTACAAATAAAATGCTGAGGAGTGTCTAAAATAATATATATCACATTATTCTGTTATATACATTATGGGTCACATGAGGAAACTGAAACTCTCTGCAGCCCTTCCCAAATATAGGGAACCATTTAGGGCTGTTCAAAATGATTAGGATTGGCGACTTTGGCACCAGAATGAATAACTGCCTTGGTTCAGCTGCTCTTTTTTGCCATTTTTAACAAGTACATTTTAATGGCCATTATTGTTTTATTCATGTTAGGTTTATCATTACTGCAGTTAACCTCACATTTATTTTGGCTAGTATCCTTCTTTGAAAGTCTTTGACATTTTAGTTGGTTTTGATTTGTCTTTTTGGTCACACTCCATTAATAATAACTTAAATTTGAATGGTGCTTTTCAGCTTACAAAAAAATCGTATTATCATTTGTGTCCTTGAACAGCTCTGTGGGAGAAGCTGAGATTATTATTTCTTTTTTATAGTTGCTGTTTTATAGGGAAGGAAACTGAGGCTTAAATGAAGATAAGGGACTTGCCCAAAGTCATAGACATGGTGAATAGCAGAGCTACAACTCAACTCCAGGTCTTTGACTTATTCTTCAAGGCTTTTCTCATAATGACATGAAACCCATCACTAAGTTGGCCTGACTGGCAAAGATCCACTGTCCACACACATTATATATGTTTATGTTCATGCATAATCAAGCGCACACGCACACACACACGCACACACTCATGCACGTGTGGTATCAAATAGAAATCTAAGAAAACAGCGACTAGAACTCACATTATTATGTCCTGCACCCTCAGAAAAAGGAAAAAGAGGCAAGAAAACCCATTACCACCATTTCTCCCAGCAGAAATTCCAAGGCTCCTTCTTCCCACCAGGTGTTTGTATAGCCTTACACAAATCTGATGTTCTTCTGAGTGATTTGGGGAGAACCACCACACCACTTTGACCACCAAAAATATCCTCAGGGACAAGAGGGAAATTAGTAAGTGTAAGTAAGTCAAGCGGTAAATTCTAACCAGGGCCCCTATATAAATATTCAAGTTAAAACTGAACAAAGTTTATTTAAATAAAGAGCCAGAGAAATGGCAGATGGCAGACCTAAAGAGGTGGTTTTCAGGAGAGAAAGGCCAAGCCTACAAGAGGAAATAATTGTAGTAAAGAAGGATCCACTGGGCCTTTGGTATTCAACTGGTCTTCCCAGGCATTTTGCTTCCTTCCAGTTTTCCAGTGTTTCATTAGATTGTCCTGGTTTAAAGATTATTAAATATAATCCAAAACATTCACTGAATTGATGGAAGGGCGAAGGGCCAAGCATGCTAGCTTACTCTTAAAGACATCACCACAAGCTTAGGGTTTAGTAATTAAATTCAGTCATCCCCAAAGATGGAATTAAGTCCCAGCTTATACATCACCAGGTATTACCATGTATTTCTGGTATGGATTAACATTTTCAGCTCTCTAGTGACTGCCTTAGACATTGAATGTTAAGGACTTTAGAGAACAATTGAGTCTTATTTTTAACAAAGAAGTTGAAGGGATCTCTTAAGATATATAAAACTGAGAAATAAGGTCTGAAGTTCTAGTCTTCTAAGTGGACAAAGTAAGGAATAGTGGTATGTATAGTATACTGTAATTTGTGTCTTAAAGGTGTGTGTTGTATATGTGCATATTCTTAGAACACCTCCAGAAACATGAAGAAAAATGGGAAAAGTTGTTGCCTCCAAGAGAAGGGATTTAAGTTACTGGACAGAAGTGGGTGGGAAATTTACCTTTTTTATGGATATCCCTTGCTACTCATTAATAGTTTATACGTCTGTCACGTCTACTAAAAAAGTCTAAGCTCTGTGGGGGCAGGGCCCATTGACCATATTATATTTATCTTTGTAATCCCTGGCTGGGTCTAGCATTGTGTTTGGTAAGTAGTCAATAAATTTATCATTGAGTACTTACAGCAGATGTTCTTTTCCCATCTAAAATAAAACTGACTATTACCGAGTATAAATCAATACTAATTTTGTGGCTTTTTCCAAATGGTTTATAATAATTAATCATTCTTAGACAGAAAATAATTCCTTTCTATCTCCTCCCATTTACCAGCCCATGTATTATTTCAAGTACATTTGAATCAACCAGTTCTTGAGACTATTCTGATTTATGAAATGGAGGACATTTTATAAATCATTTTGCTGACAGATGTTTTGGGGGGAAATGACTAGTTAGTATACTTTAAAAAATTGTAAAGCAGTGAATTTTGTGGTAGAGATTCCATTAAATATTTTCTTAGGTGCTTTTTATTAACCAATTCTTTTGTAGCCTGTTCTCACTCTTGGCATTACTCTTGAATAGGATGTCGCAAAGTCAACACATATTTTCTAAGAAGTGGAAAACTATGATCCAGAATTAAGTAAGGCAGAAGCAAAGAAAACAAACTCACAGAATGGAAATTATAATTATTTAGAGATAGAAGTTTATTCAAAGTTCTCCAGAATATTCTTACATTAAAAATTGTGAGAACCTTGCCACATCTTTCTCCAGCATAATGGTGACACTCCACCGAGGATTCAGATTTTCATCAAGACCTTTTAAAGGTGTGGGGAGCACCTTATTATGTCGTGTGAGTACCCTGGAGAACAGACTTCAATGTGTACCACACTTACCCTCTAGTGGGCCTTTGTGAGCACTGCAGTTCCCTAGGCTTTTGGGTTTTCAGCCCTAGGCATTTCCAGAGGTCTTTTTGAGTTCGTTTTTTATAAACATATAAGCCCCATTAATATTTATTCCATTAACTGTTAAACTGCAAAGGATGCTATTAAAGGGCTTGTACAGCTTATTCTCATGAGTAGTTAAACATCGTTGTTTTCTTTACACAACTAGTTTTGCCTTGTAAGCTCCTTTCTTTCATAATAGTATAAAGACAAACATCAGTGCACTCCAGGTCCAATTAGGCAAATTCTAAATTAACGACTTTATAGTATTTAAGTAGAACGAAATGGCATTCCTGTATGTGCATAATTATGATAGTGATTTTTTAAAATATTTTGGGACTGTCACATGAAGTACCTTCTCTCCAATTCAGAAGACTTCCACAGTTTTCATTACTGTTGTTTGCTTGCTCTTTAAATCTTACATTACTTTGTGACCACACCAAAGCAAAAGGCAGATGAAAAATCCCAGCCCCCGGCGTAAAGCTTATCAATTACCAACTGTTTCCACTTAGAATAGAATTTTGGCTCGTACTAACAAAGCCTGACTTGACACCAAGTTTGTCTCCTTTTGGACAATGTACTCTAGCCATTAAGATTAAGTTTAGTGCAAATGTGTGACACTCAAAATAACAGCGATTTAAAGAAGATGATAAACCTTTAGCTCTTTCTTGTGTAAACAAATTTCAAATGTAAGGATTAATAGGGACCTTCGTGTTCAACAAAGGCTGAGGTTTATTCTAGCTTGTTACTCCACCATGCTCAGTGCACGGATTTCACTTCCTGGTCCCAGGTGTCTGGTCTGTTTCCAGGCAACGTAACCACATTTCAGCCAGCAGGAAGGAAGAGGAAAAACAGGGCCACTCTTTTAGGATCCTTCTTGGAAGTTGTACCTATTACAACTACATCCAATTGGACAAAACTTTTGTCACATCACCACACCTGGCTGAAATGTCTTTATTCTGGGCTGCTCTGTTCCAGCTAAAAATCAAGAGTTCCAATACTATGGACGAAAGCAGAATTGATATTTGGGGATACACAGCAGTATTTCCCATAGCTTATAATCCCACCAATTGCCTTCATTTGACAGTTCCTAATCTTTTCTATTTTTTGCTTATTTCCTTCTGAGAGGTAACATCATCCTCCTTTTCATTTGCCTTCCACGGGTGATGTTCTGATGATAAAGATTGTTTCCTTTTTCTCCCCCTTCTTTCTCTAGGTAAACTCGTCACTTGGCCTGCCAGTTTTAACCATGTTGGTGCATTCATTCCTTCCGCAGGTGATGGCTATGCCACCTGGCCCTCCACTGCTGGGAGTGCTGCTTACCATTTCCCTGGGCTCCATCAGGCTCATTCAGGCTGGTGCTTACTATGGGATCAAGCCGCTGCCACCACAAATTCCTCCTCAGATCCCACCGCAAATTCCGCAATACCAGCCTCTGGGCCAGCAAGGACCTCACATGCCTTTGGGGAAAGATGGCCTTAACATGGGCAAGGAGCTGCCCCGCATGCAGTATGGCAAAGAATATCCACATCTACCCCAATATATGAAGGAAATTCAGCCAGTGCCAAGAATGGGCAAGGAAGCAGCACCTAAGAAAGGCAAAGGTAACATCATATTCCTGTGCTGTTATGAAACAGCAGCTTTCCAAAATCCGAAACTGTAAGATCGGGGGAGAAGCTAAATTTTAGAAATTTTTATTTTGGAATGTGTTACTGACATTGTTTACTGTGCTCTAAACTCTATCCTTGAAAAGTTCAAGACCTAAAAATACAAGCAAAATTACTGTTTTATGTTGTGCTTTATTTTAACAGCATTAAATGGCACAAAATGTATTTTTATTCCCTTATTCATTATCTATTCCAACATTTGGCAACTATTTAATGAGCATCTATTTTAGTGTCAGAAGCTGGGCCAGATGCTGGGGGATTAAAGCGGTTGGGGGGGTTTGGTGACAAGCCTACAGGAGGCTGCTGGAAGGCGTGGAGAGCAGGACTGCTCTGCCTCTTCCAAACTTTTCTTCCCTGAACCTGAGGGAAGCCAATCTGGATTCACTCCCTCTCATTGACACTCACTCAAAAAGGGTACTTCTGATTAAGACGGTTGAAACTAGAGAGGGACAGGTTATCAATGCAATTTCTCAGCATCACGATGACCTTGAGTGAAAATTGCACATGACTTGGTGCAGCAATATATTACCTCCAAGAATTAAAAAAAGAAATCCATTATCTTAAAGAAACAGCTTTCAAGTGCTTTTCTGCAGTTTTTCAGGAGCACAAGGTAGATTTGGAATAGGAATAACTTCTAGTTCTTAAGAACCAATAGCCTTAAAAGATTTCGAAAAAAGTTTACAGCATCATCTAGTGTACAAAGAAAACTTGTGCTAGAATACCTTTTAAAAAGTATTTTTGAATACCATTAAAACTGCTTTTTTCCAACAAGTATCTGGCTAACTTGTTTCTGCTTCAATAAATCTTTGGAAAACTCAAAATAAAAACAGGTGACTAGTCAGTCTTCTTTACTGGGAGAGCAGTGTTGTTAAGGACCTGCTGTGTTAGAAATATATACATATGAAAGCACTTTGTGAACCAGATGCTGCATAAATGCCAGTGTTTTTAAGAGCGCTTTAATTAAGCTACTACACCTGTTAATCAATAAACTGAGAGGAGACTATGAAGGGTAAGGACTGCATATAGAGATGAAAATTTTTCCCATTGCCTTCCAGCCATATTCATTAGTTATTCAACACCTACAAAATGCTTATCACTGTGAGAGACACTTTTTTAAAACTTCATGAGGTTCATCTGGATTCCTAGGAAACCTAGAAATTGTAGGAAAAGAACTGCATCGGCATAGCAATTCCCTTTGAGGAAGTGGAGGTCATTCCCACTGGTCCCTGAAAAAGCAGGAATCTCTGTCTGGGGTGCTAGTGGATTTGGTGCTAAGAGGCCTAGAGGCCAGAAATGAAAGACCTGAAAATAATATAACTACTGTATGTCAATTATATATTTCAATTAAAAAAAAAAACACCTCTCTGAAACTACTTTTCTTTGTAAAGTAAGATCTGTTGAGAAAATCAATGGCATAGGTAAGTAAAAATGCTCAGTAAATACTAAAGCATCATAAAACTTTTGAGTTGCTACAGTTGGTCATTCAAGAAACCCTAACTAAGAACAGAGTACATTCCAGGCACTGTGCTGGACACCAAGGAATCCTGATGAGTAAGACATGACCCTGCCCCAGACACTCTTGATATCGTAGTATGTACTACACAATTCACTGCTTAAATATAACATGTCTTAATAGTACGAGACTATCGACTTAGCATAATTGAAGTATTCCCAATTTTCCTCTTCAGGAGCTGATATTCCACTTAGGGGATGGTCTCAGCCATTTGTTCTCCTTCCTTTCTTAAGTGGCCTGCCTGGCTTTTGGCACTTCCTGTACTTATTCTGATGGGTACCAGATTGCAATAAGAGAATTTGCTAAGAATATGAGTTCTGCGGTTCTATTTTGTTCCCTGACAGTAGGTCAGTGAAAAATATAATGGTCAGGATTAAGACGTGACTGCTGTTAACATAAAACTTTGAGGCCATAAATTTCACTTATGTTTCATTTCAGTAGCATAGAAGATCCAGAGTTGTGTTACTCTGAAAGGCACAGTATAATCATCATAACAGAGATGTGCTTTGTATTTTGATAATAATTTGTGAAAGCACAACGTCTTTCACATCTATTATCTAATCTTGTAGCAGGGCCATAATATTCTTGCTGCACAGAGAGGCAAGCCGAGACAGTGAAGGCCCAAGTGGCCCAGTCCAGACTTCAAGACCAAGAAGAGCTTCCTGCTCTGCCCAGCTCAATTCCTTCCCCACACTGCTTGTCAGCCTCAAGTATCTTACTCACTTCTCCTGTTTGAAACCCAATTTGCAAATGAGAAATAATTTATTAAAAATTTGAATTCATATGAGACTTAGGAAATCCTATAGCACATTAAAGAAATTAAGCAAAAGTATTTGGCTCTAGAGGACAGATGTGAAAGATGTTATTTATTTTTTTTAAGATTTAGTTTTTTAAGATTTATCTATTTATTTGAAGGGAGAGAGAGAGGGCACATGTGCACACATGTGTGGGGGAGAGAAGCAGAGGGAGAGGGAGAGAATCTCAAGCTGACTCCCTGCTGAGTGTGGAGCCCTAAATGGGGCTTGATCCCATGACACTGAGATTATGACCTGAGCTGAAATCAGGAGTCAGCTGCTTAACCTACTGAGCCACCCAGGTGCTCCATGTGGAAGATGTTATTAAACCACATACAAGATAAAATACTTCTATTATATGATAATTACTTTCCCTAACACATCATACTGTATTTCAACACAAGAGGAAATATTTAGCCACAAATTATTATATAAAAAAACAAGGACATGGAAAAATATAGCATTAAATAGAAAATGTAATAAAAAAATAAAAATGGAGAATGACTCCATTGTTTAAAATACACACACATGCGCGCACGCGCACACCTAGAACATGAGATGGAAGTACATATAAATGTCAAGTGATTATAGGCAACTCTGATTTTTCTTTATCCTTTTTTGAATTTTCCAAAATCTCCACAGTGAACACACCATAACAAAACTTGGAGTTTTGTACTCGGAAAAATGTTTCTTCATACCTTTTAGCTTTTTTTCTTTAACCAATGCTGATAAAAGCAGCTACAGATATCAGTCCTCAAAAAGTATTTCAAACGTGACAAAGCAATTATTAGCTTGATTGTTCTTTAAGTTCTGATGGTCCCGGAAGATGGACACATTATTCCTAGTCTTTCCTCTCAATAAGTAATGGTCTAAGGTTGTCAAAACTAAATAATGATCGTCATGACTTCCTTGAAGAATAATAAATATTAATTTCTCCCTTTTGTCCCCTCCCTCTCCCCCCCCTCCCCCGCCCTCTCTGTCCCTCTCCCCCAGTAGAAATACCATTAGCCAGTCTACGAGGGGAGCAAGGTCCCCGTGGAGAGCCTGGCCCAAGAGGACCACCTGGGCCCCCCGGCCTACCAGGCCATGGGATACCTGGAACCAAAGGAAAACCAGGGCCACAGGGATACCCAGGAATTGGAAAACCAGGTATGCCTGGAATGCCAGGAAAGCCAGGAGCCATGGGAATGCCTGGAGCGAAAGGTGAAATTGGACCCAAAGGAGAGATTGGGCCTATGGGGATCCCAGGGCCGCAAGGACCTCCAGGGCCTCACGGACTTCCTGGCATTGGAAAACCTGGTGGGCCAGGGTTACCAGGGCAACCAGGTGCAAAGGGAGAGCGAGGTCCCAAAGGACCACCAGGACCTCCAGGCCTTCAGGGTCCCAAAGGGGAGAAGGGCTTTGGGATGCCAGGTTTGCCAGGCCTCAAGGGTCCTCCAGGGATGCATGGCCCTCCTGGCCCTGTTGGACTTCCAGGAGTGGGCAAACCCGGAGTGACAGGCTTCCCTGGGCCCCAAGGTCCCCTGGGAAAGCCAGGTCCTCCAGGGGAACCTGGGCCCCAAGGCCCTATTGGGGTCCCGGGAGTTCAAGGACCTCCCGGGATGCCTGGAGTTGGCAAACCAGGCCAGGACGGGATCCCTGGCCAGCCAGGATTTCCAGGTGGCAAAGGGGAGCAAGGACTGCCAGGGCTGCCAGGACCCCCAGGCCTTCCAGGGATTGGGAAACCAGGCTTCCCAGGACCCAAAGGTGACAAGGGCATAGGGGGTCTTCCTGGGGCTCTAGGACCAAGAGGGGAGAAAGGACCAGTAGGTGCCCCTGGAATGGGGGGTCCTCCAGGAGAGCCAGGCCTGCCTGGAATCCCAGGTCCTATGGGTCCTCCAGGTGCTATTGGTTTTCCTGGACCCAAAGGAGAAGGTGGGGTTGTAGGGCCACAGGGGCCACCAGGTCCCAAGGGCGAGCCAGGGCTTCAAGGCTTTCCAGGAAAGCCAGGTTTCCTTGGTGAAGTAGGGCCCCCTGGCATGAGGGGTTTGCCAGGTCCCATAGGGCCCAAGGGGGAAGCTGGGCACAAGGGTTTACCAGGGCTCCCTGGTGCTCCAGGGCTGCTGGGACCAAAGGGAGAACCAGGAATCCCAGGGGATCAGGGTTTACAGGGCCCTCCAGGCATCCCAGGGATCGCAGGCCCAAGTGGGCCCATTGGACCACCTGGAATGCCAGGCCCCAAAGGGGAACCCGGTATCCCAGGGCCCCCTGGGTTCCCTGGAGTAGGGAAGCCTGGAGTAGCAGGACTTCATGGGCCTCCAGGGAAGCCTGGTGCCCTTGGTCCTCAAGGCCAGCCGGGCCTTCCAGGGCCCCCAGGCCCTCCAGGACCCCCAGGGCCCCCAGCTGTGATGCCCCCTACACCACCACCCCATGGAGAGTATCTACCAGATATGGGGCTGGGAATTGATGGAGTGAAACCCCCCCATGCCTATGGGGCTAAGAAAGGCAAGAATGGAGGGCCAGCCTACGAGATGCCTGCCTTTACAGCTGAGCTGACTGCACCTTTCCCACCTGTGGGGGCCCCGGTGAAGTTTGACAAACTGCTCTATAATGGCAGACAGAACTACAACCCACAGACGGGCATCTTCACCTGCGAGGTTCCCGGGGTCTACTACTTTGCATACCACGTTCACTGCAAGGGGGGCAACGTGTGGGTTGCTCTGTTCAAGAACAACGAGCCCATGATGTACACGTACGATGAGTACAAAAAGGGCTTTCTGGACCAGGCGTCTGGGAGTGCGGTGCTGCTGCTCAGGCCCGGAGACCGAGTATTCCTCCAAATGCCCTCAGAACAGGCTGCAGGACTGTATGCTGGGCAGTACGTCCATTCCTCCTTTTCAGGATATTTATTGTATCCCATGTAAAAAAAGAAAGAGAGATTTAATAGAAGAAAAGAACATGACGCACCGAAAAAATCCAAATGAAAAACATAATTGCTTCAAAACATTTATATAGTTGGAAAGTTATATTTAAGTGAAAATCTAAACCATCATGTACAAATAAAAACTAAGATGCATGTTTAATGCTCTGCATAGCAGCCTGTAATTAAAAATGATGGGATAGATTTATGTATCAAGTACTGACACTTGTGCTGTACCCACTGGAATCATAATAGCTATTGTATTGTTATATGCTTCCATGATAACCTGCTTATTCAGATCAGTCAAAATATTTCAGTATGAAAGATCATAGCTAATGAAAGTCACTTGCTCACATTGTTTAAAGATTTATAAATATGGCTTAAGGAAATGTCAATGATAACAATTATATACCGTATTTACTTGCATAATTTCCTCTGTCTTTGGGCAGATGTTTTGCCAGGGAAGGTGGGGGAGGAGTTCTGCTGTGCTATAGCCCCAGTGGGAGGGAGTCGGGGGGAGCAGTAGGGTTTTAGTCCAAGGGCTATTTCCCTCCCGTCAGAGGCTGTATGTCTCTTATCAACACGAGTCCTCAGAATTGTGTATCTCGTGTTTCTAAAAGAACAAGTGAGCTAATCGCCTGCCATATAATTTACTCAGTAAATTCTGTGTGCCTCACACTGGATGAGACATTTGAGGGACATAAGGCAGTGCCCCAAAAGGAGCTAAAAAAACAGTTGGGAGACAGGAGCAGTAATTAACTCACTTATTTCTTAAGGATCCTTTTTGTTTTATTTTCTGTAATTTTTTTTCTTCCCTCCATGTAATTTCCACTATGACCCAACTAATATAAACACATGGAAGTCATAAGAAAAAAATAATAACTTTCCAGTTTTGTGAAATATTCATTATCAACAGTTTTTAATTATGTTTACATGTGTATAAAAATCCCCTTCTTTTGCCTACCCATACAAATGACTACAATGAGGTTTCACCCATGAAAGGGCTATTGCTATTTTTCAGTAGCAGTTGAATTTTGAAGAAATTTCCTGGTGTAGTATATATGCAAACTGGCATGTTGTCTCAGGTTCCAAAGTCAATTTCCAAAATCCAAGCCATCCTTCATGTGGGGAGAAAAAAATTTCAGAATTACATAGGAAAATAACTTTTTTTGAAAAAACAATTTCTCAAGTTTTAAATTTAAAAATGGATGTACTAGTGTAGGTACTAAAACTGTAGGAAAAGAACTGTTTCTTTAGAAGCAACCTGTGGAAGAGCTATCTGAAATGTCAAAGGGCAATAAGAGCCCGTGCTGCTTGTGTCACCTCACACTCAGCACAAGCCAAGAGCCAATACAAGTTTAAAGAGAAAAATAAGTATCTTTCCAGGTTTTCACTTAGGTACATACTAACTGCTGCAGGCATTCAAATCTGGTCTCAAAACACAGGCAAAATATTTCAGTCAGCTATGAGTCTGCTGCTGATACTATAAGCCACTGGGGGAAATAATGTGGGGCTGTGGTCGTAGAATCTTGTATCTGTTCCTCAAAATTAAGAGTGAGAAGTTGAGGGGAAAGGTACAGATGGAAAAATACACAAATAAATACGGTATAAACACACATGGAAATGTGTCTATGTCAAATCTGAATCATTTTAACCATCAAGAAAAATTCTCCTCAACCTAATAGATGTCTTTCCCTTACATGGTATACGAGCACCATTTCTTCTCAATTTCTTAAGAAGAGAAATGAGTTCATTACCAGAGGGTTTCTTATTCACTGCTAATTATATGACAGATTTTCCCATCAAAAGATACCCGACCCAACCTTCATTTTCAAAGCAGACAGTGTCTATGTGGTCAAACATCCTTCAGATTGGTCTTGAGGATGCTGGTTTTGGACTGATGACTATGGAGACAACAAGGATCCACTGGGCTCCTTCTGCTGAATAGCTGCATTGGAATGGCTTGGAAGCAAGTCAGATCAGCTGATCTGTAAATCCATATTTATCTGTACATGTATGGGCTTTTTATTTCCACCAAGTAAGAGAGACAGTACCTCTTTAGTTAAGACCAAATTTCACTTTTTAAAATACCTTCCAACTTATTTATTGGTTGTTACTCAATTGCCTATATATATATATATATATATATATATATATATATATACATATAATGTGTGTGAGTGTGTATATTATCAGGCATATGCTTCTAACTTTTAGATGGGGAGGAGCAAAATCTATGCCAGATACTGTGTATTCTACAATGGTGCTAATCTCAGAGCTAAATGAATTACTCCATTTAATTTAAAAAAGAATTTTAAATAATTATCTATGTGTCTGTGTTTCCCTTTTAAGTGTTGCACATTATGTTAACACATTAGTGTAAAAGCAGATGAAACAACTACATGTTCAAAAGTCTAGGGGTAGTGCTATAATCCCTATTCAATTCAAAATCAGCTAGAACTTTTCCATGTGAAATGGACCAAACTGGCATTATGTTATTTAAACACAGAGTTTTAATGCAGTATGACATCCCACGGAGGGAAAGAATGTCTGTAGTGGGTGACTGTTCTCAAATATTTTACAGAACACCATGAAAGGTGACCAGACTGGTGACTTTTTTGAGTTTCCATGATAGATTTGAGACTTGTCAATAGCAAATCATTTTTGTATTTAAATTTTTGTACTGATTTGAAAAAAGACTTATTAAATATCTTTAAAAGTATATTTCTCATCTTGTTCATATCACTCAGCGGACACTGAACCTCATACTTTTTTTATCCCCCACTGTACTAATGAGCTGCTGAAACAGAGACCAAAAACAGTCACAGCTTAAACAGGACAATTATTTCTCTTTAACATAATAGCTCTGAGCATCAGCAGTCCAGGGCTCATATAGTAGCTCTAGTGAGAGCCCCAGGTTCCTTCTGTCTTGCCAGTTTTCTGCCCCAAAGGTATTGCCCTCATCCCCAAAGTCCAGGACAGCTAACCATCACAGCCACATTCCAGCCATTAGGAAGGTGAAAAATCAGGAAGGAGAGGGCATGCTCCCTAATTAAAGAACTCAAGCCAGTAGTTGCTTACAGTACTCCCTCCCACATCCTATTGTTCTGAATTTAGTCACACTGCCCAAAGCTGCCAAGAGAGTGAGGGAAATTGAACATTTTTTCAGGGTAACAACATGCCAGCTGAAATTCAGGGATTCTCTTAACATGGAAGAAGGGAGAATAGATAGTAAGGGACAATTAGCTGCTGCATCTGTCACATCCATCATAAAAGAAAGAACTGCCACAAGCCTCTCTTCCTCCACAAGAAACCAATCTTCAAGTATTCTATTTTAGTTGGCCACGGTAGAGCCAAATATTCTGAGTGGTGAGCAGAGCTACAGAGCAGAGGCAGCCCTGCTTCAAGAACCTAAGAGTCTTAAAAAGCATCACTGGTAAGGAAAGAATTCTGTTGTGATGACTCATCAAGTTCAAAACGATTGTAACTTATGTCTAGAATATTAAAAAGGATTATTCAAACCATTCCATAAGCAAGTATCACCAGTCTGTGGCTGATTAACTCACTTGCTTAAACCATCAATCTGGAAGCTCAAGACCACAGCTTCCATTCCCATTTAAGCCCATTTAGTTCTATTTCATTCCACAGCTAAAGACTCTTCCATAACATGGATCAATCATCTTGTATGCTTACAGTGTTGGTCACAAAAGTAAACAGAAGGATGGATACAGGAGACACACCCAGGGAAGAATAAATGGTTAGAATTCAGAGTACCAGACAAGCAGGGCAAATCCATCATGACAATGGGTCAGAGGCATTCTTTTATGTTAAAACAAAACACAAAGTAGTCCCTACTTTGCACTTGATACCACTAGGCAATGTGAAGGATACAGAAGCAACAGAAACTGGTATTTTGTGAGTGTGTGTGTGTGTGTGTGTGTGTGTGTGTGTGTGTGTTTTCTGGGATGGGTGGGTGACAAGACCAGCTGGAATAATGGAACTGACCGGAGTAGATCAGAGAATCTATTCAAGAACTAGTAAAGGAAACCAAGTTAATAACCAATGAAGGGTCAAATGATATAGGCCTTCACATATAGGGAAGAGGCATTTATATTTTATCTAATAGGCAATAAGAAGACATTGTAGGTCCTTAAGTAGGAAAATGGTAAAAAAATATTTTAGAAAAATTACTATGATGATTCTACGAAGAAGGTGAATTACAAATGGTAAAACCAATGAGGAGATCAGAACAGCTGCAATCCAGAAATCAGATGATGGGTTGATGGCAAACAGTCCTAAAACAAATCTCATGAGTAAAGGTCGCATGTCAGGTCAGGTGTCAGGGTTTAAGGACTGCAAGACAATGGAGCTATTTCAAGGACAAGGAAATGGAATAAAGAAGAATGGAAAACTGAAGAGACAGTTGAAAGACTGAGCTGATGTTGGAGTCAAGCCCAGGATGGCCTTATGAGAGAGAAGGAAGCTTGGCCTAAAGGTGGTTTCTTCTCACTGATATACCTGGAAGACTGGGATGGTTCCCTGGACAAAAACTGGTGATCCACTAGCAGTGCCTGCTCCAGGCAGGGAAATGAGAAGACACTCAGTTTACTTATAGACATGGGACTTCCCCGATAGCTGGAGGAAGATGCCTGTGTTCCACAAGTGTATTTGGCAGGGAGATGAAAGGTGGATCCATGAGCTTGGGAAGAGACATGGTGGCCTACCATAATAAGGGAGAAAAAGACCAACCTGAAATTAGTAGCACTACTTGCAGACAAAAATCATTAAATTGCTTTAAAATATCCTCCTTTTGTTACTGCAAGAATGTATTTAACAAATCCCTCATAACAAATAGCAAAGATAAATATCCTCCCAATCCCTATGGAATTAACAATGAATTCTAAGTATACAGGGCCAAGAAAGAATGCAAATAATCATGATTTACTATATTTCAGAAAAGCTTTCTCCTTAATGGTCTTCATGACACTAAAAATACAAATGTTCATGTCATTCCCTATCATGAGGAAGAAAAATATCTATGGAGTAAGACTTAAGGTTATTTTTCTTTTAGCAAAGAGTTACACAGAATTTCTGATGCTTTCTTTCATTTTCAAAACCAATATTGATATCAGGATAAATTTTATCTTCAAACAAGTTATTTTTTAGGATATCAAAAAGCTCTTAATGATTTTTATTATCAGAAAAACTTTTTTTTGCTAATTTCTGGAAATAAGTGTAATGGAATTTAAATCAAAAGTGGGGCACATCGTTCCATTTTAACAAGGTATTCAGAAGTTTCTCATCTGTGTTACTGAAAAACAGGACCATCTAATCAAGTTTTCCTTTAAGGCATCCAGAACCTTTCCAGAGATTTTTTTTTCTTTACTATCTTACTGCAAGTAAAAATAGATTTTTATTAGAATCA